TTCTTTTTAAATATCATATAGATTTTTTTTCTCTAAAATTCAGAAAAAATATTTAATTTCAGTAAGGATTAAAAAATATAATTCAGGTAAAAAGGAAATAATTGTAAAGAAAAGTATACACTAAGATTAATAAAAAGATGTTTTTTTTTTTATTTTTTCTTGATTAATTTTATTATTTATTTTGAATTTACATTTTTTAATTGGTATGTAAATGTATTGTACTCGGATATATTAATTCATCTTTCTATTTAAACATTTATTATTAAAGTTAGTTAAATCATTTTACAGTTATCATTTCTCAAAAAGAGGTAACTGAAATTGGTATAATATAATCACCCGTTGAATTGATCTTGTATAAAATTTTTGATTCGGTTTTATTCTGTTTGGAAATAATTTGTTATTTTTATTGAGAAACAAATATTTGAGTGATTTTCTTATCTTTAATGAGTTGGTCATTAAAGTAGGGACTTTTTTAACTTTAAACAAAGTTATTCTCTCATTTTAAATTTTTAGTATTTCTTCATTAAGTAATAATTCCACTCATCTTTGAAATATTCTAAAACTAAACAAAGATTTAAAGAGGTGTACTGTTATAGTTGTTGTTTATTTAGATTTTTCAAGATTCTTTTAATTTTCTCGTTTTGAAATTTACTATTTATTTTGATTTTTTTATTTGTTAGAAATTACTTTGGATTTTTAAAAAAGTTTTTAATTTGACAATATAAATATAAAAATTGTATTTGAGTTTGTTAAAATACTCAAAATGATTTCTATTGAGAAGAAATTGACTTAATATATATAAAGAATTATTTCAGATATCTAAGAAGAAAAATTATTAGATATTTTTTGAGATTGTCAAATGGTATCATTTTTACAATAAACTCCCTTTCATTAATATTTTGAAAAACTTATACTATAAAATTTTTTTCTTCTAATTCTAATGTAATTTTGGTTAATAAAATCAAGTATAAATTTTTATAATAATTAGCTCATAATTAAAGAATTTTGAAAAGAAAATCAAGGTCAGTCAATTATTAGAAAAAAGAATATTTATTTCACTTATAGATTAAGTTTAAGGTGAATTTATATTCAAGAAAAAAATAAAATTTTTAGGATCTATGAAAAAATAATTTGTTTGAAAAGATGATTATCCTTGATTTAAAATTAGATAATTATGATTTCATATATAATATATATAAATAAATTTTCATTCTTTTTGTTCTCAAAAACTCAAAGTGGTTTTGAATAAATTTTCACTAAATATTTGAAATTTTGGTTTTTTACAATACAGTTTTTTATGAAAATGTTTAAGAAAATTTTTTTGTGATGTCAAAAATATTTTTTTACTTTTTTTTTTTACTTTTTTGATTTTTTATTAAGACAAAAAAGTAATAAAATTCTCAAAAAAAAATTTATTTCAGGAGTTATTTTATCGTTTAAATTTTTATTATACTACTTTTAGATTTGAATAATAGTGGAATTAAATTTTTTTAATTTTTATTTGATACCATTGTTAGAGACTGTTTAAACTTAAGGGCTATCTAAAGTAAATTCTTTAGGGGGGGGTCGATATATAGTTTAAAATATATTTGGTTCTGTCCTTTATCTCTTGAGATACAGAAGAGCTATTAAATTAGAAAAAATTTTTATTTACATTTTGGCTGTTAGATTATTCATTGCTAGTTTGTATTAAAACCCACAACCTACCCAAACATATATGATAAGACATAATGTTTTGAAATATTTTTATTGAGAACTAGATCATATTTGACTGAATAATGTTTTTTGTTGTGTGTTTTAATACAAACTAGCAATGAATGATCTAACAGCCAAAATTACCTTTTCCAAACAGTTTGGAATTTAATGACTCTTCTGTGTCTCAAGACATAAAGGACAGAATTAAATATTTTTTTAAACAATATGTCTCTCATAAAAATTTTATTTTTGGTGGTACTTAATACACAAATAAAAAAAAGTTATAACATCTAAACTATTTTTCAGTCAAAGGGGGGCAGTTTTAATCGGAGAAAAACACTAGTTTAAAGGGTTTGCAAAGAAATTAGAAGAAAAAATTTATTTTAGGAATTTTCAAAATTGGTAACATTGTTTCACATTTATACACATTTTTGCTTTTTTTGCACTTTTTTTCGATTTTTTTTTTATACCTAATTAAGTTGCAAATATATTTTTTATTGCAAGATCAATAATCACTTGGTAAAAACATGTTATTCTAAGGTTATTGAAACCATTGAATGATTGTTGAGAAATCATATTGATTTCTATTCGAATTCTTTTCAATCTTTGATCATGATATTTGATGAATAAAGGTGAAAAAAATTCGCTTCGTTTTCATTTCCTTTTTCAAATAGAGATAACAAATACCAACACACTTCTTTTGGGGGCTTGATTTCTATAAGAAAAGTATGGAAAATGAAGTGAAAATTGTTTCATATTTATTATTCAAATATCAGTAGAAGTTCAATTTCCAGTATTGTTGTTTTTCTCAATGGGACCCTAAGAATTTGAGTTTTGCAATTTTTAAGAAAATATATTGATTGATTAGATTTGCATTTTACAGGTGGATAGCAACTATCTTATAATTTGTTTTATTTTACGTATTTTTTATTTATTCTTCAACATTCAATAAAAAAAATAACGACTATTTGAAAAAAATATTGGTACTCGTTGGCTGAAACATAGTTTATCTAATGATTTTTTTGATATTTTTTAAAAAAATATTCTTATAACCGGTTTATACATTTTACAATTTTTAAAACAAATTTTATAATAAACATAAATCTGTAAAAATTTTTTATTATTAATTTTTATAACATTTTAAAGGTTTATATATCTTTATAAAATGTTTATAATATCTTATATTTTTTTTTTTTTATATAAGGGGGTAGGATTATAATTTTCAATTGTAAATAAACTACTCGAATTTAGTATATATTGCAGAGAGGTTACTCCCATAAAATAATAATATAAATTTTTATTCTGTTAAAATCAAGTTAAAATTAATAAAATTTTATCTCAAAGTCAAATAAGGAAGTTTTATATAATTTCTAAAAATATCCTTTCTTATTGGGTTTGTGAAGTGTTTCAAGTTTTTACATCAAATAATTTGTAAAATATTTGAAAATTTCAAATAAAAATTTTTATTTATTGTCTAAAAATATCATTTCTAAATGATGTTGTTAAGTTCTTTGGGTTTTCAATTCAAATAATTTGAAAAATATTTTGGAATGTAAACTAAATATTTTCATTTTTAAACAGGAAAATAAGAGTAATTAATAATCATTCTTGGAAATTAAAATAAAAATTTCCTTTTATTAATCCGAAAATAATAGTATTGAAAAAGTTTACATTGGGCTCTATATACCCTTCTATTTAAATATCTCAAAGGAAGTTTAATAATACAATAATAGATTCATTATTTTTTTTAGGGGATGTCATACCCAAATTTTCTATATGGTGAAAAAAGAAAAGTAAAAAATCAAAAAGAAAAAATTGATAAGAAAAAAAGAAAAAAAAAAAAGTTCATAAAAAAAATGGTATATAAGTAGCAATTGGTAAAAAAAATAATAAAAAAAACTGTTTATCTTGAATTAAAGACTCTCAAAGTCACATCCACAATACTTTTTGTTGATTTAAAATAATTTAATAATTGATCATCGGTGTTCGTTTGAGGATCGTTATTTAGGATATTATAATTTATTTCTCTTTCTGATCTTATTTGCTTGATTAAACCATTGTACATTTTTTAAGTTTTTGCTTTTGGTTTTTATTTTCAAGGTACTCATAATTTCGTAGTCTAGTAATAAGTAACCACTTGGTCTTTTTCCTTAAGTGCCTCTTCTTCCCTTTATAATAAGAAAATTCAGCAAATAAAAAAATGGAAAAAAAAATAAAATTTACATTATTGTTTAGAGTGAACTCTAAAAATAGAGACTTAAAGTTTCTAATTGTGTATATCTTTTATAAAATTGAAATTAATTTTTAATTTTTCCAAATTATAATATTTTTTTTCTTTAGGGACTAGTCTCTATTAATTTTTTTTGTCCAACAACTAAATAAGGAATCCCTATCTAGAAATATGTTTAAAATTGAAAATAGAAAGTGTTTTTCAATGTTAGAACTTTGAGTTCTTGATTTTTTAAAATTTTACAATTCGAGTCAAAAAAAGTGACTTTGAAGAATTTTTTTGAAAAATATCTCAATTGATGAGAATTTTTTGATTAATTTTGGATTTAATTATTTTCTCAAAATTAATATTTATTCTCATTTTGAAAAACGAAAAAATAATTTAAAACCAGTGAATATTTTCTCTTTCACTTTTTTTCATCTAACTTGACTCTATAAAGAACTCAATTTGTTTTTTCGATAATTACTTTTTAAAAAATATTTCTTATTCTTTCCTTTTATTTTTTTTTAACTCTGACAAAAACTTTTGGGATGCTAATTGGGGAATACTTAAAAAAACTTCAAATTCAACAAAAAAAAAGAGTGTAAACTCAAAAGATAGATTCATGTAAAAAAAAGAATAGTACAAGAAAAGAAACAAAATCTTTTATTTATATTAAAGCATATATTGTATATTTTTTTCGAATCAAACTATGTTTCCATGCAAATCCAAAAAGCCCTTTCAGGTTTATTTTTCAAACTATTTTTTGTACGTCTTCCACAAACATAACAAGGTTTTGCTTTCTTGCTCATATTTTTTTTTATTTTTTGTATTTTTGCGAAAAGTTGAAAAAAAAGCAACTTTTAAAAAAGTGAAAAAAATGAAAAATTTTTTATTTCTATAGTAACTTTAACTAAATTTAATGAATGCCATTTATCAAGATTTCGTTACTATACTAAGAAGTTTTTCACTCTGATTTTAAATCTAAGTAATTATGAAAAAAAATCTAAATCTTTATTAAATTTATCTAAAAAAAATTAATAGAGATCCTCTTTCCTGAAAAAATTATTTAAAATAGAGGTTGAAAAAAAATAGACGAATAGAGAGGGACTCGAACCCCCAACCTCCGAATTTGGAGTTCGGCGCTCTAACCATTAGGGCTACCTATTCATAATAAATATGCTTAAAAACTCTCGTTTAAATCGTTATTTCTAAACTTTTCAAAACTGGCTCAAACAATAAAATTTAAATATTAATAAAAAATGAATAAATTACTAAAAGGACCACATTTCAGATTCCTATCGTTTTTACATTTTGGATTGTTTTTTTTATATTGAGGTTTTTAATTGTCCACAAAAATAGATCAAAAATACAAAAAAAAGAACAAAACAAAAAATCAAAATCACAAATTTAATCTCTTTCATTGAAAAAATCGTTTATAAAAGAAAAAAAACAGAAAAAGAGGTAAAAATTTATATCCATTTCTTATTTTAATAACAATACTAACCATTTAAATTATGTTCTCAATTGTATTTAATAGACTATTCTCCTGTTTTATTGTTTTTAGAATTCAAAATATAACCCAAGAATAATAAATTTTACAAGATATTGTTGTTCAAAATTTTGAAAATGTGATATTTTCAGATTTATTGGGAATTGTTTTGGTTGATGAACCAAGAACATTATTCAAATTTTTATAGTCTTTTTGTTGTTGGCCCCGTTGTTCTCATTGTTTTTTTCATCTCTTATTCAAATTTTCGTTATTTTTTTTTTCTAGCCTGATTCCCTTAACTTAAAAACAGTTTGGTTTTTTCTTGTTAATTTCTCTTATCGATTTACTTGGAATTCGTTTGTAAAACCAATTAGCCTAACCACGAGTTTTTCTACAGTTGAATTGTTAAATATTTGATCTTTTATTAATTGGAATTTCTCTTTATTGGGAAATTATAAGATTTTCCTTATTGATATAATCATTCTGGAAAAAAAGTGAAACAGGGAAAAAAAGTTCAAAACGCTTTTTCATTGGGAACATTACTAAAAATGGAAAGTAAAATCAATAAAAATAAGAAACCAATAAACCTCAGATAATAATCCATGATATTATTTTCAATCAACCCAAAAAAATACAATCAAAATCTACTTGATTTATCGAAATTATCTTTGTGGTTTTGGAGATCTCAAAAATACTCAATTTTTTGAACAAATTTATAATAATTGATCAATCAAAGAAAAAGCCCAGACCAAAAAAAAAATATTCAAATAACTGTTATTGTATTGAATATTCCATTTTGTATTTATTTATTTATTTATTCTTTTATTAATTGATCTTATTTTGAATTTTCAGTAAGGTTCCCAATTAAAAACTGTGTTTCACTTTTTTACCCGATTTTACTTTTTTTCCACAATGATAATGTTTTTGCTATTTTTTTGTTTTTTCTTGTTATTAGGTAGGAGACTTTTTTGTCAAAAAAGTCTTGTGCATTTTATAAAAATGTTGAAACATTAAAAAAAATGGAATGAATAAATACCCTTCATAACAGAAGTCGAAGAATTATTTCCTTGTATTTAAACTAAACTCCAATACAAAATTTTTAAAACATAAAAATTCCATTTTTGTATAAAAAAAATCTTATTTAATCAATTCTAGAAGAAATACCAAATTAGAATCATTCGATAATGGAAATGCTAAAAATTGTTTCTCCTGTTAATTGTAAAATAATTGGAACAAAATTTTCATTCAGCTTTCCAAAATAATCCCATTGCCAAAAATAAAAATAAGCCTTCAAAGGGATCAATTCTAAAACTGTAAATTAATAATTTAAGCTGATTTTAAGAATTAAAAAATTGAAATTTATAATGATTTTACTTTTTTTTTGGAAAGCTGAATGAAAATTTTGTTTTATTTATTTTGCAACTAATAGTACTATTTGTTGCAAAATAAATAGAACAAAATTTTCACTCATCTTTCCGAGTTAGAATTATAAATCGGGTTAACCTTTCAAAATTTTTAATACTTATTAGAAACTTAAATTATTAGGTAGAGAACTTTTAGGATTGGGTAGTTTGGTGATTTATTTTAATTCTTGAAAATTTGGTTTATTTGGAAAGCTGAATGAAAATTTTGTTCCAATTATTTTGCAATTAACAGTAAATTACAATACCCACAAAACCAAAAATAAATAATTATCAATACTTTTATTTTCCAATTAAAAAATGAAAATTTTTAGTTCACATCCTCAAAATATTTTTCTAGTTTATTGGCTGAAGAAAACCCAAAGATTTTTACAACATTTTTAAGCAATGATATTTAACAACAATAACTAAACTTCCTTAGTTAACTCAAAGACAAAATTTTTACTATTCTAATTTGAATGTAGCCGTAATAATTAATATTCATTTTGGAAATTGAAATAAAAATTTTCATTTATTAATTGGAAAATAACAGTACTAATAAATCCAGTACCTGTAAAAAATTTTGAAGAGAGCATAACAAAAAAATCGCATTTTTAAATTTGTTTAAATTCTATTAGGAATATTGATCAATCAAATGATTAGAGATCGTCATTTAATTTTATTTGAGTTGTTCTATTTCGTAATCAACTTTCGCATAACATCAATTGTTCGAAAAAATTATTGATCGACCCAAAAAAGTAATATTTTTCAAAAAATAAAGGAAAAAAAAAAACTAAAAGATGAAAAAATGATTTTCCATATTTTTCTAAAAATCTAAATTATATTCAATTTGAATGATATTGGATTATTGTGATTGCTTGGACTGTTTTAACTGTGTGGAAGATTTTGAATTTAAGTTTATTTCAAAATATATTAGAACCCTGGTTTTGAAATAATATTTATATTTTTTTTTATCTTACATTGATCAAAATAAAGAGTTCCCAACTACTATAGTCATGTTTCAAAAAGAAAATCGCGGGTTTTTTTTCTACTATTAATTATATACACAAAGGTAAATATGGAATGTATTAAAAAAATTGAGTTTTTACAATTTTGGAGATAAATAAATCATTCCATGCAATTATCCACAATTCAGTAATAGTAAAAGAAATCACTGTTTTTATTTTTGGGATCAAATGTTTTTTAAATATAAAATAATTTGCTAAATACAAATACATTGTTCGAAAAATGATTTTTTTTTTTAATTGAAAGATTGGTATTTACCAAATGATTTGTTGATTTTTCTTATTATTAATCTATTAAGATAATCGGGTAGTATATTTATATTTAAAAAGGTGTGGATAACTGTATGGAACTCTTTATTTATCCCCAAAATTGTAAAAACTCAATTTTTTTGATACATTCCATATTTACTCTTTTGTATACAATTAAAAGTCAAAAAAAAATACCGAACATGAAAATAATCCAGTACAAGATTTTTAATTGTGGATATTAGTAAAAATGTTGTCTAATTTGATTTAATTTCAATCAAATCCTTTTTTTATAAAGAACCAATTTTCTATGAATTCAGTAATGAATGCACCGAAAGTTCATTTAAGTGGGATTTCTATAGAATACTCAGTTAATTGTTTGATAATATAAGTAGATCAACTTTTTTTGAAAACAATTGAGTTTTATAGAGGTTTACTAGAGTTTGGAAGAGGGTACTTTTTTATGTTTTTTGATTGATTGAATGATGTTTTGAACAAGTGTGATTTCAATTAATCATCATTCTAATAAGTGGGTGAGTTATAACAGAAAAATTTTGATTCTTAAAAAAAGGATTTGATTGGAAATATATGAAATTAGACAGCAATTTCCCTAATATTCACGATTAAAAATCTTGTGTTGGATTATTTTCATGACCATTATTTTTTTCACTGCTTGACAGAAAAAAAGATCAAAATTTTCATTTGGATTTCCAAAATCTCGTATCAGAAATTTAAATAAAATCACCAATATACCCAATTCTCAAAGGAGAATTAGTAATTTAAGCTTATTTTAATAATTAAAAAATTGAAATGTAAACAAATTTTTACAATCTTTTTTGGGAAAGCTAAATGTAATTTTGTATCTTTTATTTTGCTACAAATAATACTTATAAAGGTGTGGAACATCCAAGCCACTGTCCAGTAGTATGACTAAATTAAAATTAATTATTTTGAAATTTTTTATTTTTTTATGTTAATTTTAAATAAGGAATGCAATTTGTTGAGATTTTTTTATAATTTTCTCAATTTTTTTTATTTTTTTTTTTTTTTTTTGGTTTCTTTTTTTGCTTTCATTTTTTTTCTTGGTAATAGTCAATTCATATACAGTCAGTTTCACTTTTAAGGCACAAACTTTCAACCAAATTTAAGGCACAAAAAAAATCTCAAATTAAGGCACAAAATTTGGAAAAATTTTTTTTACAATTTATTTTTACTAGAACTTGAATTTTGTGCCTTAATTTAAGATTTTTTTTGTGCCTTAAATTTAGTTGAAAGTTTGTGCCTTAAAAGTGAAACTGACTGTATAAAAACTTTGAAAACTCAGAAAGGGGTGTTAAAATAATAGTTTAAGTGTGATCTCTTTTAAAATGTGTATATTTACTCTTTTAAAAATTTAAAGGTTAAAGATTTTAATTTCCTAAAGAAATTATGATTTCTGTAGAGGAAACTTCGGTTGGTCATTCCAATTTTTTTTTTTTTTTTTTTTTTTTTTTTTTAAAACCAGTGGTTTCTTCCGGTATTTCTTTGAGAATATCAACTGTGATAAATATAGCTCACCCGCTTAATAGAATGATGATTAATAAAATTAAAATTGATGAAAACAATATTCAATCAACCAAAAAATAATTTTAAAAATATTACAGTCTATCCAAAGCTGGCCTGAATTTTTTTCAATATCAAATTTTGATGTTGATATAGATTTTTAAAAACTTGAATATGAGAATAATAAAATTCATATTGAAAAAAAAATTCCTAAATGAGACAATATTCATGTTCTTTGTTATAATCACTAAAATAGAAGAAAATCGAAATTACTCAAAAATTTTTAACTGTCATAAAAACACTTTATGGACAACTTATAAGAGACTCTAGTGTCAATATAAGTAGTTTAAAGTTACAATTTGGTATTTTATTGTAGAAAAAAATTATTTGTTTGACTGAAAATATAACCATTCTAAAAAATAAAAATTTTGGGGAATAGTAAGAAGCACATTTTGGATGAAAGGG